TAGGACGTGTTTCCTTAAAACACCTGCTGTCACTGTTCACCTAACAGTAAGTAGGTACCTCGGTGTTATCTGATTGGTGTGGGTCGCATCTGGGGACAAAATTGACCTAATTTGCCCGAAACGCTCTTCATAAGCAGGAGCTTTCTATACAGTATGTTATTTATGTCAGCTGTAGTCTGTATACGTTGTACGTATAGAAATAAAGATTATATTATTATTATTTTATTCCTTTCATTGTCCACTTGGATAGTATTTTTTCCCCTGAAATCGGGAAGCAGTGTTCGATATGGCGAAAGTCGTCAGTCTCCCTTATAAACCCAACTAATAATAATTCAGTTTCAGTTTATTTATTTATTTATTTAAAAATTTGAGCACACATACAGAGGTACAACAAATACAGGTAAGAGCAGTATGCCAAAGCCACTTATACTATGCATAGCATTACGGGCTGGCTTAAAATTAACTTAAGATTAACTAAGCAATGATGAAATCAGTGATAAAACATTAATGTAAACAGGTTACTATAAAGCACAAGTGAGTATTACAAAGACAGGTCATATGGTTGTATGCATTGTTGTACATTCAGTAGAATGGAGTATTCTGTTAGGTAGTGTATTTAAAAAATATGTTTATTGTGCACCACATACCCATCCTGTGGACCTAATAATAATTCAATTGGTGTTGAGCGACGTTGTTAGAGTGTCGCTCAGTATTACAGTAAATTAATTTTCTTACAATGTTGTCGCGGTTTCTTTCCCGGACACTGGAAGGCAGGGCTTGATACGGCGTAAAATGTTAGTGGCTCTATAAACCTCAACAACACTATGAAGAAGTAAAATCCCGGCTGTGTCGGGGACTTCAGCCGCCAACCTTCGTCGGATGTGGACGTCTCTCTCTCGCCTGAGTATCGGTGACAAATATTCCTCTTTCCCGCTGGGACGCTTGTCCTCACATTACAGGAGGGTGTCTAGTGGCCTGGTGGCAAAAGCTCTCGCTTCAGACGGTGATTGTAAATTGTGAGTTCATTACCTTTGTAAATTGTGAGTTCATTACCTTTGTAAATTGTGAGTTCATTACCTTTGTAAATTGTGAGTTCATTACCTCTGTAACTTGCTCAGCTATCAAAACTTTGGAGTCCAGTCCCTGGACCAATTATGTACCTCTGTAATCTTTTGACTACCGCCCACAGGATGGGTATGGGGTGCATAATAAACATATTAAACTTAACTTAAAACTTCAGACGGTGAGGGTCAGGGTTCAATCCCTGGCGAAAGGGTGGAAACATCGGACGTGTTTCCATACACCAGTTATCTATGTTCACCCATCAGTAAAATGGGTACCTGGGTGTTAGTGGACTGGTGTGGGTCGCATCCTGGGACGAAACTAAGTAACTGACCTAATTTGCGGGAAATGTTCATCATAACAAGCGGCTTTCTATATAGTAGTATGTCACTGATGTCAATTATGGTCGGTATACCTTGTACATGTACTGGTAGTAAATAAAGATATTATTATTATTATTATCGGCTTATAACCAGCTCCACTTTTTCCCTTAGCGGATAGATCTTCAACGGTTTAGACGGGAAGCCGGTTTCCTGAACTCAGGTGGGGTGCAGGCGTCTCGTTGTGCTCCGGCTTGGCAAGTGTGTCCACTTGATCTAATTAGTAATAGTAATATTTTACTTCAGCATAGTACAATGTTTCTACAAAGGTGAATGACATTTGGGTGTACATGCTGAAAGACCTTGTATATTCAGAACATTACTGGCAAACTTAAGACTAGCTTAACATTAGTAAGGTAATAATAATATGAGTAATTTTATACATACAGTCACTTGGGTAAGTGTAAGTTGGTATCCTCTAGTGTCTATTTACGAGGAGATTCCTGCTAATTTTTCTTTCAGCTATGGCAATATATCTTACCCATACACCAGGAAGCCGGGTTAGATACTGTGTAAGTTGTTAGTGGTCCTAATAATAATAATAATAATAATAATCTTTATTTACTACCAGTACATGTACAAGGTATACAGACCATAGTTGACATCAATGACATACTACTATATAGAAAGCCCATTGTTATGCTGAACATTTCCCGCAAATTAGGTCAGTTTTGTCCCAGGATGCGACCCACACCAGTCCACTAACACCCAGGTACCCATTATATTGATGGGTGAACATGGACAGCAAATGTCTTAAGAAAACACGTCCTAATATTTTCCAGCCGTACCAGGGATCGACCCCCGGACCTCAGTGTGTGAGCTGGATGCGCTAGCGATCAAGCTACGAGACACAACCAGCTGTGTCAGTGTGTAGGCGGCCTGGGATTAACCTGATCTAAGTTAGTTGTGTTGCCTGAGTATCTATGTTAATGTACAGAGGTCAGAGTGTATATAACTGCCCACCAGAGATAAGACCTCAGTGGAAATAAGTCTGACTTTTTTTTAGTTATCTTAGGTAATTTACACATGTTACTAGGTATGATAATTGTATTTAAATGTATCTGTAACTAAATAAACTTACTAATAGTTAGATAGCTAGAAAATACATTGGTCACTTTATTACACTTAGTCTACATTATTAATGACTAATATAATGTGGAGTAACCATCTCAAAAATTTAAGCATATTTTTATCAATAAAACATTATTGTGTTTCAGTCTCGTCAGAAAGTTCAAAATATGGATACAACCTGAATATTTACAGATATCCTTAACAATAAGGCGTTTTGCCATAACCTGTTATATTTATTAAAATGAAAGTGCTAAACCCATAAGGGGCAGACGGTGCCCTACCCTGGAGGTGCATGGAGGTGTCTGGAAGGCTGGATGTTCCGACACTAATATACAATCAAAATGAAACTAAAAATGTTATTGCCTTGCAAGCTTACAATGTGTGGTTTATATATTATAATATATTAATTACAAACAAGGCCACTAACATGCCTAGGTATTTCAGCCAGACTAATGTTGCAGTGTTATGGCCCCTATGTCCACACACTTTACATTTTATGTTACTGACATCCCCGTACAACCAGAGATACTTATAACTTAGTCTTAGTCTAACAGTACAACCAGAGATACTTATAAGTTAGTCTTAGTCTAACAGTAACAACAGCACAACCAAAGATATTTATAAGGTAGTCTTAGTTTACCTGGAGAGAGTTCCGGGGGTCAACGCCCCCGTAACAGTAACAACATCTTCCAATCTACTAATCTTTTCTCACGATATTTTTTAAACTTCTGACAAGCCAAAATATATTCAATATTGTATTAATGTAAGGCTTGCTTAGCTAAGTTACCAAGCAAGAATTAAATGAAGAAAATGTAGAATATGATTCCAGTTTCTTAGAAAGTTTAAAAAATGGCAGTGGTGTCACTAGCACGTTAAGAGACAACACAGGAAGTGTGAGGGGCCCAAGACTGTTCAATTGCCTCCCAGCATACATTAGGAGGACTACCAATAGACCCCTGACTGTCTTCAAGCAGGCACTGGACAAGCACCTAAAGTCAGTGCCTGACCAGCCGGGCTGTGGTTCGTACGTTGGATTGCGTACAGCCAGCAGTAACAGCTTTCTCCTGTCCAAGGAAACTTTGTTACCAATGGAAATAAATGGCTGTGACAATTTTTGGGGTTAGGCACAGGTGCACATAAGCACAATTACCATATGTAAAGTAAATTACCTGGATAACCCAAAAAATTCAAAGTTACTTATTTCCATTGGGTTACCCTAGGTAATTTACATATATCTTACTATGTATGATAATTGTAATACACTAAGCTTCTGTAACCGTATTTGTGTATAAATGTATCTAAATTAACTTATTTATTCCAGCCCATATTTAGGCAATATTTTTTACATTTGCCTCCCGTGTTATAAGGCTATAAAATAAAAGCGTCAGCTTCGGTAGCCCTGAATAACCCCGACGACAATAAGAAGTCTGTTTCATATTTTCTTATCTCTATCTGAGAGGTTTGTCTTCATCTAATTGTCCACCTGGACTGAGCACATCAATGATCAGAGGAGACATTTTAGCACTTCTTTTATTTATTTCCTCACTCTGAGGATGATTTACTGGCGAACGGTGAGCCGGTCACTGACTCGGTTATGGTGTGACCTCTAATGTGCCGGAGATTCAATAGGGAAAAAGAGGGATTTTTACCTAGTTTAATTAAGAACGCTTCTTTTCCATTTGCATTCCCGTACGGAACTCTTATTTCCTTCCCTATTAGCGCCCAGCTTTGGGTAATATTTTCTTCTGAATTGTCGCTCAGCTTTGGGTAATATTTCTCTCCCAATTAGCGCCCAGCTTTGGATAATATTTCCTTCCCAGTTAGTGCCCGGCTTTGGATAATATTTCCTTCCCAGTTAGTGCCCGGCTTTGGATAATATTTCCTTCCCAGTTAGTGCCCGGCTTTGGATAATATTTCCTTCCCAATTAGCGCCCAGCTTTGGATAATATTTCCTTCCCAGTTAGTGCCCAGCTTTGGATAATATTTCCTTCCCAAAGACTAGAATTTATGGCTCACTTTTCAGTACCTGGCGAACAGTTACCGGCCCTTCAACCTCAACCCCAAGAACACTCAACCCCAAGAACAGCTGTTTCAAGACTTCTGCGACAGCTTCTTCGGGTTTGGACGTCTCGCTCTCGCCTGAGAATCACTTGATAAATTTTCCCCGTTCTCTCTGGGATGCTTGTCTTCATTTTGCTTTTCCCGTGGCCTGGTAGGCAACGCTCTCCCTTTACCCGCAGAGTGTCCATGGTTCGATTCCTAGCAAGGATAGGCGTGTTACCTTACACTGTTGTCCTGTTCATCTAGCAAGCAAGTAGGTACCTGGGTGTTAGTCGACTGGTGTGGGTGGCATCCTGGGGACAAGATTGAAGGATCACAATGGAAACAAGACAGACAGTCCTCGATGACGCACTGACTTTCTTAGGTTATCCTGACCACTAAATCGTAATGACACGATTGCAAACAAACCATACCACGGATTTAGATTTTGCCACCGAAGTGGCTAGTTTATTGTGCACCCCATATCCATCCTGTGGACGGTAGCGCAAGAGCATATGGATACATAAAAGGCCTAGGAACTAGGCCCCAAAGGGTTAACAGGAATACATGTGGATTTATATCTACATATCTATAGTTCAATTATCTGTTACAAGCAAATTTAGGAAATTTGCTTAGTATATCTGGTATTTTATTTTCATTAATAAGATATCTTGACATGTCACATAGGTTATTATACTGTCTGTCTCTGTATTCCTCAATAAGTGGACAATTAAGCACATAGTGTTCAAGACAGTGACCATATGCCTGATCACGTAATTTACATTTAGTTTGATCATCATCTGCGTGTCTCCCAAACTGCCAGAAGTACTTGTAACCAAGCCTAAGCCTGGCCACTACAACATCAATCAGTACTTGTAACCAAGCCTAAGCCTGGCCACTACAACATCAGTCAGTACTTGTAACCAAGCCTAAGCCTGGCCACTACAACATCAGTCAGTACTTGTAACCAAGCCTAAGCCTGGCCACTACAACATCAATCAGTGTTCACATTGCACGTTGCTCCATAAACATACTTATCTACGTTCATGTTATCATAGTGGGTTATAGATCTACTCAGGCTTCTAACTGCATTCCTATAACAATCATTTTCATTATTTATTTCTCTCCTAATATTATTCCTAATGCTAGACACAGTTATACCAAAGTTATATTCTACGTTCTCCTTCTGGGTACTCTTCTTGGCTAACATATCAACTTTATCATGAAGGTGTAATGCAATTTGTGATGGGATCCATAGCAATTGTATATTAATTCCTTTGTCCCTGATTTTTGAGTATCTATACCTGGCTTCTCCAATGGGCATGTGTTGTGATAGAAACACAGGCCTTATCTCTAGGCTGAATCTAGAGCTCTTGCCTGGTCAAAGGCAGCGGCTAAGTCGAGAGTTTTATTCTCCAATAAACGCTGCCTTATTATTGGTGATTGCAGGCCACTGATAAAAGCATCCCTGATGGACTCTTCACAATACTGAGCAGCTGTCACTGCTTGGAAGTGACAGTCCTTACCTAAAATTTTCAGTGCTTGAAGGTATTCCTCTAAGGACTCATCAATCTGCTGGCGGCGAGTTGCAAGGCGATAGCGTGCAAAGATTTCATTTGTAGGTTTAATATACTGAGACTTGAGGGTTTTGATAGCATCTTCGTAGGTATTACACTCAGAAATAGCCTCATATATCTTAGGTGACACAAAATTGATGAGCAGACTTAGTTTATCTAGATCAGTTTCAGGAAGGGCTCCCAAGAAGTTTTCGAAAGTCTTAAACCAGTGTTTCCATTCCTGAGCAGCTGTTGATAAGCTGGGGTCACAGTCTAGCCTCTCAGGTTTCAGTAAACGCTCCATGTTGTGATGTAGTCTAGCTCAGGATCACCACCAGGTAGCCCAGGATTCTATGTTCAATAAATTGTTGTGATAGAAACACAGGCCTTATCTCTAGGCTTTATTGAACATAGAATCTTCATAGTACTTCTGCAACAACAAAATATAATGACTAGTACATCTAATAATGGCTTCTACAGGGATGGTGATGTCTTGCATATGTCAAGAGAAAAGTTATAACTACAGGCCACATATTTAAACTCACCATGTAATCTGCATCACTAATATAGGGATAGTAGAAGAGAAGAGAATCACACACCATGTGTTCGCGCCCATGACACACACCAAACTGTTGTTGTTGTTAAGGGCCCCGAGAGGTGGTGCAGTATTATCCTGCTGCTGCTCCCCACAGGACCAGTATCACTACAATCTCCCCCTTCTAAAATATCAGAGACAGTAATCTCCCAAACTGTTAGGTGGGCGACGTACACGTCCCGACCTTCGTAGCCCTTGAGCCTCTTCACCAGGTTCAATATTTTCCAGCGGGGTTTGACTAACTGCTGGAGCAGAATCCTCTATTTCTGTAGGGTAGTCTCAAGGGGCTTTCCAGGAGAAAACGAAGCATCTTTCACATCTATTGGTGTATCTTGAGATTCCACACTAATGGGGATTTCAACTGGGGCTAAATGTCTTGTAGATACTGTAGTCTCTTCACCATTTTGGTAGCGAATGTGGGCGTAATGTGGATTAGCTTGCAGGAGCTCTACCTCTTCCACTAAAGGATCCGTCTTGTTCATCCTACGGTGACTCTTCAGGAGAACGGGTCCAGGATGACATAACCAAGTGGGCACGGAGGCTCCCGTAGAAGAACGACGTGAATAGTTGAGGAGTCTTTCATGAGGGGTTGCATTAGTAGCTGTGCACAGCAATGATCTAATAGAGTGAAGAGCATGTTCTTTGATTTGACAAAATGGTACAGGCGTGTAACTCCTGGGTGACACAAAGCCTTGTGGAGCGCTGAGAGTGATTGTAAATCATGACATGCTGCTCCACAGTGGGACCTAGAGAATGCATCAGGTGAGATGTTCTCTTGACCCGGTCGGTACAGAATATCAAAGTCATAACACGATAGTTCCATCCTCCAGCGTAATATCTTGTCATTCTTTATCCTACTTTTGTGCTTCTTGTCGAACATGTACATCACGGACCGTTGGTCAGTCCTTATGGTGAAATGTCTACCAGTTAAATAATGCCTCCACTGGCGAACTGCTTCTATGATGGCCTGGGCTTCCTTTTCTACAGCAGCGTAACATTTCTCTGATCCTTGAAAAGTTCTCGAAAAGAAGGCTACTGGTCGTCCTGCCTGAGACAAGACTGCAGCAATGGCAATGTCAGATGCATCCGTTTCCACTTCGAATGGTAGGGATTCATCAATGGCTTGAACTACTGAGTTTTCAATGTCTTGTTTGAGAGTATGGAAAGCGGCTTCTGCTTCCTTTGTCACAGGAAATGTGGTAGCACTCAATGGGCGGACTTTACTTGAATAGTTGTAGATCCATTGTGAGTAATAAGCAAAAAGACCAAGAGTTCTTCGGAGTGACTTTTTGTCTTGAGGCATTGGAAGTTCCCGTAGAGGTCGTAGTCGTTCAGGGTCTGGGAATATTGAACCTCCTTCCACTACATAACCAAGGATGCTAAGCCTTTTAGTTGAAAAAGTGCACTTTTCCTCATTGTAACTGATATTTTTCTTCTTGGCGGCTTCCAAAAACTTATCAAGGTTTGCATCATGTTCCTCCTGGGTCTTGCCACAAATGGTAACATTATCTAAATACGCGTAAGTTCCCATGAGTTGCTCTTCCTGAATGAGTGAATCCATAATTCGTTGGAAGCAGGCTACCCCATTGGTGACTCCAAAAGGGACTCTGGTAAACTGATACAGGCCATCACTAGCCTGAAATGCTGTGTATGGTTTATCTTCATTCCTTATAGGGACTTGATGATAGGCACTCTGTAGATCAATTGTGCTAAACACATAGTACTGAGCAATTTTGTTCACTGTATCATCAATTCGAGGTGGAGGGTACCCATCAAGAAGTGTAAATTTGTTGATTGTCTCAGAGTAATCGATAGCCAGTCTCCGTTTCCTATAATCATCTTTAACAACAACAACAGTTTGGTGGTGTCATGGGCGCCAACACATGGTGTGTGATTCTCTTCTCTTCTACTATCCCTATATTAGTGATGCAGATTACATGAAGTACTATGAAGATTCTATGTTCAATAAATTGTTGTGATAGAAACACAGGCCTTATCTCTAGGCTGAATCTAGAGCTCTTGCCTGGTCAAAGGCAGCGGCTAAGTCGAGAGTTTTATTCTCCAATAAACGCTGCCTTATTATTGGTGATTGCAGGCCACTGATAAAAGCATCCCTGATGGACTCTTCACAATACTGAGCAGCGACCTTCGTAGTATCACTACAGCATGTTGTTGGAGTCATTATATGAGTTAAGAGCATTTAGTGATGACATAGAATCAGTAATGATGATAGACTCGAGCTCAGTGTCATAGGTTAGCTTTAGCGCCATTAGGATTGCAAACAATTCAGTTTGCAATGTAGACGCCCTAGTTCAGCAAGTTTATTATCGTTCTTAACTAGGGAGGTGGCAACAAGAGCAGATGCAGCCCTGCCAGAAGACTCCTGTTTAGATCCATCAGTGTATATAACTTGTGATAACTTATTACTACCAGCTAGGCGAGAAATTTCTTCTTGAGCAGTTGCTTTAACAAGTGATTTAAGGAAGGGATTACTAGCAATGAGCTTCTTGGGAGGGACTTGCAGGTATGTGATATTAAATGAACACATCTTCCATGGAGGGGTGAAATGCTCTTGTTGTCTACAGTGATAGAGTTCATGCAGGTTATAAAACTTAATGCAATTGCACGTTTTCACAATCCATTTAGAGCTGTGTGTATTTACTTCTAGACACTTAGTAAGGTTCATTGTGACAGTCTGGTTAATTTCTTAACATTCTAATACCGAGTACAGTGTTAATCTCAACAATCCTATCACTGATACCAGAAATACCAAGCTCCTTCCTCATATTAAGAACCTTTGTAGATTTGGGACAACCAAGAATAATTCTGAGAGCTTCAGTTTGCATTAATTCCAAGGGTCGGAAGAAACTTTCTGTAGCTAGTATCAACATGGGAGCAGCATAATCAATTAAGGACCTAACATAGGCTATGTGCATCATTCTCACGATTCTCACATTAGCACCATAGTTGGGATTGTAGCCAGCAACAGCTTTGAGAGCATTTAGCCTAGCTTTGCATTTCTTATTTAGTTGTGGTATAGTGGATTTGTTAAAGGGTACATCTACACCAAGATATCTGTAAGTTTTAACGTAGCTAATGTTTTCACCCTGCAAATAGATGGGTGGGGGATGTCGTTTGCTTGTTAATATCTTTGTTTTAGAGGAAGATATTATGAGGCCTAGTCGATTACAAATTGCTTGAACTTCATTAAGAATGGTACTCATCTTCTTATGCCCTGTTGTATGGATCATGTTGTCATCAGCATAGCTTATAGCAATATGTTTAGGTGAGGCGGGTAAGCATTTAGGAGAGAAATAATCAGAATATTAAATAGCATGGGACAAAAGAACTCCCCCTGCGGTGTACCTAAAGACATTTCTTTAGACTCACGTCTAAAGCCTTGGTAAAGGACAGAGGATACTTTATTTGACAGGTATCCTATTATCCAGCAGAGTAAGCTACCACCAATTTTCATTTTGGCTAGTTCATGTAGTATAACGGTTCTTTTTTGCAATATCAATGCAGATTTTAGATCAAGAAAAGTGGGAAAACTAGTAGAGGTGTGGGACAGTGAGAAAAGGGGGAAATACAGTTCTGCATACTTTTTTCCTTTCATGAACCCATAGAGGTAGGGGGGAAAAAATTGGGGTCTGATTCTGTAGTACAGTCTGTTAAGTATCATTCTTTCAAAAGTTTTACAAAGACAACTAGTTAAGGAGATCGGTCTAAATGTATCAGGCTGTTAGGGCTTAGGGATAGGCACAATGAGACTATTGGTCCAGGAAGTAGGAAGAACTCCCTCAATGTAACTGAGATTACAGTGCCAACAAAGGGTTATCAGGCACTTGCCTTAGAGTTCTGAGAATATCATAGGTTATACCATCCTCTCCAGGAGCAGTTAATCGATCTTTAGTTAATGCATTATCTAATTCATACTCGGGAGGGGATAGATCCCGCGATCAGAGTGTCATAAAATTCTCTGATCGCGAAGTCTATCCCCGCCCGTGGAATGGTAAGATTATCCTGGGTGGCTAACAGTCCGGGGTTAAAAATCCGAACAAAATCTTATCTTTTAAAGGGATTCCTGTTCCTTTTCATGTGGCAGCTTCGGGTAATATTTCTTCTCCGTCCACCGGTAAGTAGGGCTCAATAAGGTGTAAGCTGTAAGTGGCCCTTACAAACCCAACAAGCTGCTGCTGCTTCAAGTTTGCCGGTGTTAGAGGCTGGTTTAATCACCTAGTTGTGGTTGCAGGGGTTGATTCATAGCTCCTGGCCCCGCCTCTTCACTACAAGGCTCCTCTCGGGCAGTGCAGGAAGCTTTTATATTGTAAATTTTTCTTTTTAATGTTATTTAGTAATTTCTCGCTTCGTTTCCTTTCAGAATTTTCTCTGCGAGAAGTGCGGATTTGAGACAGCAAAACTATGCAGTTTTTCTTTATAAACTGTACATATGAATCACATAATGACTCAGTTTACCTTTCTGTTTTGTAATATATTTTCTGAGCTCTGTGCCAGCCTGGAGACGAGCAGAAACATTAACTTTATTACACAAGAATGTTTTGTGTACGAGTCCTCACCTAATTGTACTCGCCTAATTGTGGTTGCAGGGGTCGATTCATAGCTCCTGGCCCCGTCTCTTCACTGGTCGCTACTAGGTCACTTCCTGCTCCATCAGATTATCATACCTTAATCATACTTCATAACTCGTTTGTGCTTGTCTACCTTTCACCTCAACATGTACAGTGGTCCCTCGTTGTTCGGAATTAATCCGTTCCTGGAGCCATTACTATAAACGAAATTTACGATTTACGAATCAATTTTCCCCATAAGAAATAATGTAAATACAATTAATCCGTTTCTGACTCCCAGAAGTATTAAAACAAAAAAAATTTTAACATGAAATATACATGTAGTACATAAACAATACAATGGGAAATGATGAATGAAACATTAACAGCATAACACTTACCTTTATTGGAGATTCTTCTTAGTGTATGGGAGACTGGAGGAGAGTGGATTGTTTATAGTTTGGAAGGGGAATCCCCTTCCATCAACACCTCAGGTACCATTTGCTTTTCTGGGGTTGCTTCTCTTCTCTGTTTCTTAATGCCACTAGGACCACCTTGAGAGTCACTGGAGTCCTGTCTCGCAAAAAAACTGTGGAGAGAGCTCTGTTTCTGGCGTCCGGTACCAGGCCACCGGTGGCCCGGTGGCCTGGTGGCTAAAGCTCCCGCTTCACACACGGAGGGCCCGGGTTCGATTCCCGGCGGGTGGAAACATTTCGACACGTTTCCTTACACCTGTTGTCCTGTTCACCTAGTAGCAAATAGGTACCTGGGTGTTAGTCGACTGGTGTGGGTCGCATCCTGGGGGACAAGATTAAGGACCCCAATGGAAATAAGTTAGACAGTCCTCGATGACGCACTGACTTTCTTGGGTTATCCTGGGTGGCTAACCCTCCGGGGTTAAAAATCCGAACAAAATCTTATCTTATCTTGTCTCCTTAACACTTCCCTAAAATGGCCCAAGACTTTGTCACTGTACATGTTGCCAACCTGGCTTGCAGCAACCTTGTTAGGGTGATGTTTCTCCATAAAGCTTTCCATCTTACCCCACATAGTAAAAATCTCTTTAATTTCTGAAGAAGGCACCTTCTTCCATCTCTCTTCCTCCTCCTCTGCAGCAAGATTCTGAGCTGCGATGAGTTGCTCTTCCTTCTGGAGCTCTTGCAGCTCCTCAGTGGTGAGCTCTTCATTGTGGTCTTCCACCAATTCTTCCACATCCTCCAAACTCACATCCAACCCCATGGAACTCCCCAGTGCCACAATTGATTTTACAACAGACATAGGCTCATTAGGGTCAGACCCAAATCCTTCAAAATCCCTCTTGTTGACACAATCTGGCCACAATTTTCTCCAGGCAGAGTTCAAAGTCCTGGTAGTCACTCCCTCCCAAGCCATACCTATAAAGCTTATGCAGTGGAGGATGCTGAAGTGTTTTCTCCAAAATTCCCTTAGGGTCAAGTGAGTGTCTGTGGTCACAGTCAAGCACCTGTGAAACATTGCTTTTGTGTAGAGTTTTTTAAAGTTTGCAATAACCTGTTGGTCCATGGGTTGGAGGAGAGGAGTGGTATTCGAGGGCAAGAACTTTACTGTGATGAACCCAAACTCCTCGAAAATTAGGTCATCCAAGTTTAGAGGATGAGCAGGTGCATTGTCCATTACTAGCAGGCACTTGAGATCCAATTTCTTTTCCAGGAGATACTCCTTCACACTAGGGCCAAACACTTCATTGAACCACTCAACGAAAATTTCCCTCGTGACCCATGCCTTACTATTAGATTTCCAAAACACACACAATTTACTCTTCATAACATTGTTTTTCCTGAACACTCTGGGATTTTCAGAATGGTACACTAGTAACGGCTTCACTTTGAAATCCCCACTAGCATTAGCACAGAACATTAGCGTCAGCCTGTCTTTCATAGGCTTGTGTCCTGGCATTACCTTTTCCTCTTGTGTAATGAAGGTCCTCTTTGGCATTTTCTTCCAAAAGAGGCCTGTTTCGTCACAATTGAACACTTGTTCAGGTTTCAGTCCTTCAGCCTCTATGTACTCCTGGAATTCATGCACATATTTTTCAGCCGCCTTGTGGTCCAAACTGGCAGCCTCACCATGCCTTACCACACTGTGTATGCCAGTATGGTTCTTAAATCTCTCAAACCAGCCTTTGCTGGCCTTAAATTCACTCACTTGACCACTATTTGCAGGCAATTTCTTTACCAAATCTTCATGCAACTGCCTAGCCTTTTCACAAATAATCGAAGTCATAAGAGTATCTCCTGCTAATTGTTTCTCATTTGTCCACACCAATAATAACTTCTCAACCTCTTCCAGTACTGGTGATCTCATTTTTGTCAGCATAGTTACTCCCTTTGCAACAACAGCATCCTTTATTTCCTTTTTCTTGGCCACTACGGAACATAAGGTTGTGTAGGGTTTCTTATACATCCTGGACAGTTCGGCCACACTTGTACCACTTTCATATTGTTCAATGATGGTTTTCTTAAATTCAGTCGTATTTCTCACCTTCTTTACCACAGGCTTGGCACTAGGAGCTTTCTTTGGAGCCATGGTAGCTTATTTAGTACTTGCAAGCACTAAAATAAATGGAATATTATGAAATATTTCGCTGGAACACGTGAGGGAACCTTCGCTCACTGGTAGACAATGCCAGACTGGCTGCCGCCCCGGCTCACACCGTGGGTACGCGTCCCGGACGAACTACGACTCCCGAGTCAACCTATGAAAAGCGAGTCCATGTTCATACGAAAATACCCCTATGATTGGCGAATTTTACGATTGCCGGGAACTACGAAAAGCGGGGGACCACTGTATATATTTTCAGATTCAATCCTCCCTTGATATTTTTTCCATTATAAGACCAGTATATCACTGTGCCTTAGCAGAAGACATTTCCATTTTTATCGTTTCATTTTGACGTCGCCAGTCTGGCACATTATTCTACAATGGCTTCCTTCTCATTCTGGTATCTAAGGAAGTGAGATGGTTTATCAGGCTACAAACATTGCACATTCCCAGTGAGGGATGGGAAATTACATACTAGATGTAATTAAATTGACTCCGGTGATAGAGCGAGTTTGTCATCAGCTGTCAGACCCCTTAAGGGTCTGACAGATGCTGATGAGGGGCTCTTGATCTAGGTAATTGGATTTGTGCTCCAGTTCCCTGAATTGAGCCTGAATACCTTCCACCCCATTCCCTCACATGTGCTGTATAATTCTTCGGGTTTAGTGCTCCCCCATGATTATAATAATAATAACTGTCAGACTGAGTATCAGCTCTCAGCTCCACACAGCTGAGACTTGGGATTCTGATGATCACTGTTCTTGGGTTTGTGCTGAAGATCTCCTCTTTTATGTCATGGTGCATCTACATATTGGACTTACATGAGTGGCAGCACATCTTTTCCAGACACCTGATGGTCAGCCTGAGCTGCCATGGGAGCCCCATGCAGGCACCCAGGGCAGCTCGGACTCTCCACCAAGTGTACCCAGAACAGACGTGCTCCTAGCCTGGTATGTCAATGTAAACAGGATTTGGATTACTAAAATTCTGTGAAAAGGATTCTGATTCTGAATTTCCCCTCATTAATATTGTCTGTCATAAGGAAGTATATATAAGCACAGGTACACATAAGTACAGTTATCATACATAGTGTAAATTACCTAGGATATCCCCAAAACAGTCAGACAAAGTGACTCCATGTAGAATTCCGTTTGCTAGAGATATGGGCAACATAAACAGAAGATGCTGTTAAAGATAAAATATAAAGATTTTATTTCCTTGTAAAGGTTACAATGTATAATTACAATTTTGGTTTAATAAGTACAAGGAAAGCCACTATCATGCCTGGGCATTTTGGGCAGATAGTTGATAGTCCCTCTCACCTCTTCCCCTACAACTGCATCTGTAGACTGCAGCTTCTCTACTCTGAAACACATTAAAAGATTTTCCATTAATTCTCAAGGTAAAGAAAAACTGCAAAGCCTACACCCCCTCCCTCTAGCAACTGAAGGATATTTTTTGCAGAGACTTAACCCTTTCAGGGTACCCAGACCCTCTCCTGGACTTGATCTCAGGGTTGCCCAAATTTCCAAAAAAAAAAAAAAAAAAATTATTTTTTTTTTCTTATGAAAAGATAGAGAATCTTTTCTCAATCATAATGACACCAAAAATATGAAATTTGATGGAAAACTTGCGGAATTATGCTCTCGTGAAGTTAGCGGTCTCGACGATGTTTACGCATCGGCGATTTTGCCCAATTTGAGCCCTATTTTCAGCCAATTCCAGTGTATTAGTCGAGAAAAATAATAACTATTTTGCTAGAACTCCATTTTTTCTATCAAATGAGTACAAGAAACCACCCATTTACCGATTTAAACTATCCATTACAGTGGTCAGAATTTAGCAATTTTGCCAATTTTACACAAATTTCAAAAGATGCCAATTTCCAAATAGGGTCCAGAATAAACAAGAAAGACATTCCTGGCACTAAAATAACATTTCCTCTGTTCATTAGTCACGTCCCCAGGCCCCTCTTACATTCTTTTGCTTTCCACTTTGAATTTCTATTCTCAGAAAAAATAGATGATTTACTGTTATGCAGACTACTGCACTAGTGTAGAAATGGTATAAATAATATCGGTGCACTTGTGAAAGAATATTAGACTCACCAGTTGACGTGTATTGGACGTTTAGCATGATTTGTTTACTTTTGAACTTTGGCAAAAATTGAACATTTCTG